TCATCAGAACACCTCAGACTCCAAGACTGATCATTCTGTCCAAACCTGCAGTCTTCTCTGTCACTACTCCTTCTGATTCCTCTGTAACTCACTGATATATAAACTCTTCCTCTCCACTCGACCTCCCAGTAACAGCGACCAGTCAGACCATCTCTACACAGCAGCTGAGGCCAGTAGTCAAACCTGTCTGGATGATCAGGATATGACTGAACCTCCTTCACAAGTGTCGCCTTCCTGTTGTTGTCAGACACTTTGATGTATCTGTTTACTGTGTTTGTGTCGAGTGTGAGTTCACAGGAATCTGATGAGAGAACGAGACACAATCCAGCTGCAGTTATTGATCTATCATCTGTTCATTGATTGGCACTTTGAATGAGTGATGTCACAGTCTGAAGATGGTTGAATGTTTTCATGAATCAAATGAAAAACACACTTACACTTCCTCAGCCCTGGTCTCAACCATCGGACTCCAGCAGGCTCCACCCTGAAAGGAGGAGGGGGGTCAGAGCAGCATCAAACATGGACATTACATTCCTCTCATACACATATACACAATATGTGGATCCGGCCTGCTTCTCCCTGCCCCCCATAAAGCTCTTCGCCTATGTCACTCTCCTCGTACACTCAGAGTGACCCACAGGATGTTGGTGTGTGAGAAAGAGGAGGAAAACATCTGATCACACACACAAAACTCTTTCTGATCGAAACCGCATCATTTCATGTGTTGGGATGTTTTGTGCATGTTCATGTTCCTATGGTTTGGAGTTGAAACGTTCTCTATGATGTATATTACAACAATAATAATTACTGTCTGTATCATTTCTGTCTCCACTGTGCTGCACGTCATGTTTGATGGCATCAAAAGCAGAAATAATGACAGTTTGGTGAAAACGACTTTCATATTTATATATGCTATGACTAACATGATATGTCCAAATGTGTGTCCAGGAACATCTGTAAAAAGAGGTTACTGTTGGCATCAGGACTTCCCTTGGTGAGAGATGACACAGTGAGCATTTGTGTAATCTTGTGAGACTTGGTGCAATTCAAACATGGCGGTGTGCAGCTCAACAAACATTTACCAAAAACTAGGTATTAAAACAATGTGAAGCACAGAGACAGGTTGGGTGAGATATCAATGAGCCTATTAAACACACACTAGCTGACATGCAGTAAATATAATGACCAGCAGTCACATTAACCCAGTGCAAGGGGAGATCACAGTCTACTTGTCTGTACTAGGGGCAAGTTTATCCTGCATGCAGGATGAGCTCTAAGCCAGACAATCAGAACGGAACAGAACAGAACAAAACAACAAAAAGAAAACCACCAATAAAGTGACTGACTACCTGCAACCCAAACTAAACAAAACACAACTCTACACAGTTGTTGCATTTATATTTTTTGTACACATGTATGCATCAAAGATAATAGAAAACCTGTTCAAACCCCACCAACTACGCAGCTGATCCCTTCCTGGGTCTCCCCGACGAAGTTAGCCTCCCCTCATGTTACATAAATAAATAAACAAAAACTAAGGACATTTACTCTTTCATTTTAGTTAGTTGTAGTTTGTTCTGCAAACCCATAATACAGTTGTAGTTAGTTATTGTTTTTTTGTAAAGCCTCGTTTTTATTTTTATTTCAGTTAACCACAATGTTTTTTCACATCTAGCTTTCGTTATTTTGTTCGTCTTTGTTAACGATAACAACCTTGGCTTATGCACACAGATTCACCCACACGTACACACTCTCACATATAGACACACACACACACACATACACATTTAGGTTATACCTGGTTGTCACAGGTAGAATAACTCTTGATGCTTTTCATTAAGTTATTTAATTTATTTTGCTTGGCTGTTTCTCCTGTTCATTCTCCCTCTGTTTGGCTGGTTGTCTCTCTATTTTTGTCTGTTTGTTTTTTCTCCACCCCAAGCCCCCCTCCCCGTTATCTTGCAGGGTCTGTTGCTTTCTGCAATTGGTGTTTTCTCCCCCCCCATCCCTGTTCTCTTGCAGGTGTTGTCCTTTCTATGTGTTGTCTGTTTGTGCGGTGTTTGTGCCCCGATCCCCATTTGCCCCCCTGTCCAGCCCGGTGTCAAATCAATACATATTTAAATAAATAATAAAAGGAGTATATTATTATTCTCTTGTTTAAGTAAAATCTGTCTGGCACAACACGGTATCCAGCTCCTCATACCTATACCAGTCTGCTGTGCAGGACAGGTAAAAAATTAAAATGAAAAAATAAGACTTCCCTCTCTGTCCCTTTAACCCAAAACTAGAATTGGTTTGGATGTCCTTTGTTTTTTAACTTGATTACAGTGAGACAACACTGCCATCTACTAACCAATGTTGAGAATTATTTTAGAACATTGCAGCCTAAATTGTTATCATTCATTGCTAGAGTGAAGGTGGTCTGCATTGGCATCATTTAAAGTATTATTTTAGAGTGTAAAGTTAAGATCACAGTGTCAAAACTCTATAGCTATTGTCATCATTTAGAGTGCTATTTTATAGTGTAAAGTTAAGATCACAACGCTGAAACTCCATAGCTCTGAGAGTGTGTGGTCCTCTCTGTGTCTAGCTGCCCGGGTGCAGTAACAGTAGCACATGTGTGTGTCAGCAGGCACGTGTGCTCTGGAAGCAGGATGAGACAGCAAGGCATCATCAAAACCATAGAAAAATGTAGAAGCAGAATTAGTGAAAATTGTGTTACAAAACAGACGTCAATACAGTAAGAATGTCTTGTCTATAGCACACAGCACAGGAAACACCAGCTTATTCCACAAAGTCAGGTATTTGGTTAACATAGCGTGATCAACAGAGGGCATGCCTTGGACACAGAAAGGAGGAGCATTGCAGACAAAAAGTTAGACATCAGTCAAGAAACAGTCATCAGTGATTATCCTTAATTGATAATAATAATCTTTGTTAATCATTCTAATCAGTTTTATTATCATTAATCAGTATGTAATCATTCTTGTATCATCATTTCTTTAGTATTAATCATTAATCATTCTTAATCATTTTTACCTAGATGTGCTTTGGTTTTTCTTATAAGTAGTGAACTGTAGTCATGAACACAGAAACAAGCTCACTGTGGTTAGATCCTTGAGTGGGAGGAATGACTGCAGGAAGTGGCTGCAGATGTTTCGCCTTGTCCAGCTGTCATCTACTGTAGATTATGACCATAGGAGAGGCTGCAGGTGTGAAAGATCTGCTGACACTGTGTCAGTGCATGCTTTGGTCTACTGTTATCTACTGTTATCTACTGTTATCTACTGTTGTTGTGACAACACGAGGAACTGCTGAGGTGTTAATCTGCTAACATTAAGACTACATGCTTAATTACTGATTAAGGGGGTTTGATTGTCAACTTCCAACCTCTGGTTATTATAGCCAGTGTGAGCTTTGAGTGAACTTGCTGAAGGAATTCATGCTTTGCAAAAACACGACAGAGGATGACCAAAAAACTGTCAGATGCTTGGTAAAAACACAACAGACAGATGAAAAGCAGAAAGCAGAAAGCATAACATCAAGAATGCTGTAAGAAACCAAGCATTAATGGGAAATGCTACTTTACTTATGTTATTCTTATATTAACTGTTTAAAAAATACGATTGTGTGTGATATTAAGCATGCATAACCTTTAAAAAACATGGTGAGACTGAAGTTGAAATGTAAATGATGAACTTCTTATCCAGTAGTATAAAGATGTAGAAAGTCTACAATACAGTAATAACTGACAGCTGGGGAACAGTGTTAGTTGGTACAAACAACACAAAAACAGAGGAAAAGAAGTTCATCATGAGAAAGGAGGGCAAACCAGCCCAGAAGAGATGTATATAAGGCTGTCTGCAGACCACAGGATGGACTTCATCCTCCAGCCTGCTGGGATGTTGTACGGGTTTATTTGTCCTGTTTTGGAATAAACTCTTGACCGCCTCCAGAGAAGTTTTTTGACTACTGTGGGGATTATTTTTTGACGAAGTTTTATTAAGTTGGTGAAGGTGGGGACCAGGCTTAACTGGCCCAGCCTGGTCATACATCTGACCCAACACCAACAGACAGAAATCTCTGTAACTACACTGTTAGGAATCGGTATAGAAGTGTAGCTATTACACTGTTTTATATGAGCAACACTGTGTTTTTAAGACTAATACTACTGTAAGTGTGTATAATGTAACTGTAGTGTAAAATGTGTTTGACAGTACAATTAATTTAACCAGCTAACTGAGACTATAACTACTAGTCTCAGGTAGCTAGTTAAATGCTTTGCTGAAATAGCTGTTGGTTACAGTATGTTTCCCTGAATGTTTTCTTAGAATAATAATTATTTAATAATAATTAAATAATCAATATGTAGTTAATAGTTAATTATAATAGTTTTAAGCGAGAAAACCTTCCTCCAAAACCAAAACTCTGCCGCCTTTGGCTAAAGAGTTTACCATCATTTTAGCTTTAGGCTTTCTTCAAGTTTATTTGTGCCTCACCTAAAGTCAGAACATAATTAGTATTTTTCAACCAAGCCTTTATGTTAGGGCTCAAAGTGTGGGTTCTGGCCGTCCAACCACCACAAACTCCTTATTCAGTCTTTTTTGTTAAATATCATATACATATCACCTACACCAAGCTTTACAGTAAAAAACTGGCGCTACATGGCTCGCCCACTGTGTTGAACTATGATGCTAAAAAGATCCTCAGTGCGTTACAAACTGATGCCGAGGGGTCTTGATCGTGTGTCCATATGTGACGAGTCGGGGAGTGAGAATGGGTTTCCAATTCTGATCTGACCAAACTGCATGAATTATTACTAACAGCAATTATCATGGTTGTTCCTGGAGATATTTTCCTTGGAGACCTCCTACACAAATCTTTTTTTTTTGGTTTAACCAGTGTTTCTGTTCTTATCAAAGGAAAAAAGCTTCCTACAAGTGTGATTAACCAAAAAGACCTCTTCTATCAGACTTTAGCTGCAGCAGGCCTCTTCATACCTCAGAGTCTCCAATCTCCAGTGTGGATCCTCCAGTCCAGCAGACAGCAGCTTCACTCCTGAGTCTCCTGGATGATTGTAGCTCAGGTCCAGCTCTCTCAGATGGGAGGGGTTGGAGCACAGAGCTGAGGCCAGAGAAACACAGCCTTCCTCTGTTATCAGACAGCCTGATAGCCTGCAAACACACAAAAAAATCACAATCCATCCAAAAGTTGTTCTTTCAGACTGAATTGTTGGACCAGCTGACAGTTCCACATTACCATCCACAGAGCCACTCTGCTAGCATGGCTAAAATATTACTTTGAACTTTTTATCACTAACAAACAAAAAATATGACTTAAAGAAGAAACATTTTAAACTTTTTAAATGGCCATCAGTTGAATTGGTTTACGGAATCCTGACCTGAGCATTTTCAGTGTACAGTGTGGACTCTTCAGTCCAGCAGACAGCAGCTTCACTCCTGAGTCCTGCAGGTTGTTGTTACTCAGGTCCAGCTCTCTCAGACTAGAGGACTGGGAGCTGAGAACTGAGGACAGAGATTCACAGCTTCTCTCTGAGAGGTTACAGCCACTCAGCCTGGAAAGACAGTAGTAATAACTTTTAAATTTTTGTCTCTTGTTGAAAGATAGCAGAGTTTTGAATGATGAATAAATCCCACTTACAGAGCTTTCTTGGAGGCTTTGACCACTGGCAGCAGCCTCAGAAGAGCCTTCTCTGAAGCAGAGTATTTCTTCAGGTCAAACACATCCAGGACTTTTTCTGATGACAGTAAAATGAAGACCAGAGCTGACCACTGAGCAGGAGAGAGTTTATCTGTGGAGAGTTTTCCTGAACTCAGGGACTGTTGGATCTGATCCACTAGAGAACGATCCTTCAGTTCATTCAGACAGTGGAACAGATTGATGCTTTTCTCCACAGAGGGAGTCTCTTCGATCTTCTTTTTCATGTACTCGACCGTCACCTGATTGGTTTCTGAGCCACTTCCTGTCTCTGTCAGCAGGCCTAGTAAGAGAGTCTGATTGGTCTGCAGTGAAAGTCCCAGGAGGAACCGGAGGAACAAGTCTAGGTGTCCATTTGGACTCTGTAAGGCCTGGTCCACAGCACTCTGGTAGAACTGTGTCACAGAAGATTCATCTTTACTTGTTTCAGACTTCCGGGAGGTTGATTGTTCTTCTGCCAGCAGATCGACACCAGAGTTGATGAAGGTCAGATGGACATGAAGAGCAGCCAGAAACTCCTGAACGCTCAGATGGACGAAGCAGAACACCTTGTCCTGGTACAACCCTCTCTCCTCTTTAAAGATCTGTGTGAACACTCCTGAGTACACTGAGGCTGCTCTGATATCGATGCCACACTCTGTCAGGTCTGATTCATAGAAGATCAGGTTGCCTTTCTGCAGCTGCTCAAAAGCCAGTTTTCCCAGAGACTCAATCATCTTCCTGCTCTCTGGACTCCAGTGTGGATCTGTCTCAGATCCTCCATCATACTTGGTGTTCTTCAGTTTGGACTGAACCACCAGGAAGTGGATGTACATCTCAGTCAGGGTCTTGGGCAGCTCTCCTCCCTCTCTGGTCTTCAACACCTCCTCCAGAACTGTAGCAGTGATCCAGCAGAAGACTGGGATGTGGCACATGATGTGGAGGCTTCGTGATGTCTTGATGTGGGAGATTATGCTGCTAGCCTGCTTCTTATCTCTGGATCTCTTCCTGAAGTACTCCTTCTTCTGTGGGTCAGTGAACCCTCTAACCTCTGTCACCATGTCAACACACCCAGGAGGGATCTGATTGGCTGCTGCAGGTCGTGTGGTTATCCAGAGGCGAGCAGAGGGAAGCAGGTTCCCCCTGATGAGGTTTGTCAGCAGCACATCCACTGAGGTGGACTCTGTAACATCAGTCAGGACCTCATTGTTGTGGAAGTCCAGAGGAAGTCGACACTCATCCAGACCGTCAAAGATGAACACAATCTGGAACTCTTCAAACCTGCAGATTCCTGCTTCTTTGGTTTCAGGAAAGAAGTGATGAACAAGTTCCACCAAGCTGTACTTTTTCTCTTTCAGCACATTCAGCTCTCTGAAAGTGAATGGAAATGTGAACTGTATGTCCTGGTTGGCTTTGTCTTCAGCCCAGTCCAGAGTGAACTTCTGTGTTAAGACTGTTTTCCCAATGCCAGCCACTCCCTTTGTCATCACTGTTCTGATTGGTTCATCTCTTCCAGGTGAGGGTTTAAAGATGTCTTCTTGTCTGATGGTTGTTTCTGGTCTGGCTGGTTTCCTGGATGCTGTTTCAATCTGTCTGACCTCATGTTCATTATTGACCTCTGCAGTCCCTCCCTCTGTGATGTAGAGCTCTGTGTAGATCTGGTTCAGAAGGGTTGGGTTTCCTGCTTTAGCAATCCCCTCAAACACACACTGGAACTTCTCCTTCAGCTTAGATTTAAGTTTACGCTGACAGACTGCAAAAGGAGGTTCTGTATGAGCAAACGAGATAAAAGATAAAATTTTTGTCAACATTTCACCATTTTGTAATAAGGAAAATATGACAATTTAATTCCTTTAAAGAATGCATATGTAACCACGTTTCCCTCCATCTGCTGAGCCATCAGTAAATGTCCCGTTTATCCAGCAGTTTAAATCTTTAGAGAAATCCTCTTACCGCTCTGCAGACGCTCAGCCAGCTCCTCCTGCTTCATTCTCCTCAGGAAGTGCACTGTGATCTTCAGAAATGCCTCTCTGCTGCTCCTCCTCTGCTCTTCCTCCTCACCGTCCAACACCTCCTCATCCTCCCTCTGACTCTCTAAGCATTCTGGGTAATCTGAACTCAGAGCCTTCTGGATCTTCTTCAGCTCGTTCTTCACAAAAGTGACAATGTTGTCCTCCAGCAGCTGGAACAGAATATTATATGAAGGACACAATCAAAGTCAAATCATGGAACCAAACATCAGATCCATGTTGGACAGACTGACAATCCACTGGTCTAAAAAGTGCAGCGTGGAGATTATTGTGAACAGAATAGACGGAAAAGTAGTTGTTGTACATGTACAGACCATAAATATGGAGTCCAGGTGTGTTTGATGCTGCTGGGCAGACTGACCACTAGGAACTTCTGAGCTCTCCTGGTGGACTCTGTGGAGGAATCATGAAGAGTTAGATCACATTATGTCTGTCCACACAGATCCAAAAAAAGGGTAAAGGCCATTTGACCTAAAGTGTTGATTAAAATAATGACTCGGATGGTTTCCCCTGACATTAAAGTGTTGGTCGTACTGCTGATCACGCTGTGAATCAACAGTCCAGTGTATATTTCTGTGCAGCTTTCAGTTTTCTTTTTTTCTTTTACCAGCTTGTTAGGTTTTGTCACTCCTGCTCTTGGAAGTTATCTGGACGCTACCTGTTTGTAGTAATCACTGTATACCTGTAACAGGTGAAATGAGTGAATCATCAGGAAAATAAAGTTTTTATGCTGTTTGTTTTATGCATATACATGTATGTATTTGTTATTTTCTGCTTGTTTGACATACAACAACTAAAACCAACTGATGGGTTTTGCCAGGTTAGTTTGTTTCATTCAAACTGTATTGTGGACCAAACAATGCCTGAAAAGGAGGATGTTGGTCTGCTTTCAGGATCATTCTGGTGAACATCTGTGCTGTTTAAGCTAAACTAACAACCTACTACAGTTAATGTAACCAGATGATTTCTCCTCTTGGTTTTCTTGTAAAAACAAAGTTGGAAGGGAAATAAGAATAAGAATAAGAATAATGGGCATAAACAAAGTAAAACACCAGGGAACATTGTACAATGTACAAGCTAAAAAGAACATTTAAACTACATCACAACCCTAACTACCGTTTGATTTTCATTTATAGGTCAGAGCAACTTCAGAGGGAAAAGCTGTATGGTATAAACGCAGGTTGATCATTCACTGACAAAGTAAAGTTGATACATGTGTCAAGAAGGGGGTATGGTGGGACAGAGAGAGAGATTCTCAAGAGATACTCTAGTTTTTTCCTCTGTTGTGACAAAAGCCTATAAAATGAAACTAACAGAAGTTATTTCCTGAGTGAGTAGCCTGGTGTCATCAAAAGGAACAACACTCCGATTTCTTAAGTCATTTGGCGTGGTATTCCATTTTTTGCATTTCACGTGTAATTTCACGCCGTTTAGACTGCACTGACTTCTATTGTGCAGAAACAGCTGGCTGCTGCTGCTGCATCGCTCTGTATTAGCCGGTAGCTTGACGCAGATGTGTTTTTTTGCCGGTAGATCATGAACTTACTTCTTAAAGCTGGATATTGCTATTTTCTGAGTTTTATTGGCTACATGAAGTGCCAGCCATCGGCACAATTGGTTGCAATTGACTGTCGCTTGGGATTTATTGATGGAATATTGGACTAACTAGTTTTGGACTTAATATTTTTACTGGATTGGATCGTCTGTACCCTTGACAACGTAACAATACCGTTTTTGATGGAATATAATTGATCAGTGGATTAGGCTTCATATGTGATTCGCGTCAATTTGGATTGTACTGGCTGGTCTGACAGAGGCTCTGATTGTACCCGCTGTGGTGATTGTATCTTGGAATGGTTTGCATTGGTCGAATCACGAGGATTTTAGCTTTCAAATGGTGGATCATATGAGTATGAAGTTACCATAGCAGCTGTGTGCACATACCAAAAGCTGCCGCCAGGACCTGACGGACCATGGAATGGAATGTTAAGAGGTTAAATGCCTGTCGCCCTGACATCTGTAGTCATGTCCTTTGAAAGACTGGTGTTGGCCCACCTGAAGGACATTACAGGCCCCTTGCTGGACCCCCTGCAGTTTGCCTACAGGGCTAACAGGTCAGATGCAGTCAACCTTGGTCTGCATCACATCCTGCAACCCCTCGACTCTCCAGGGACATATGCAAGGATCCTGTTTGTGGACTTCCTGTTCGGCGTTAGGCACCATCATTCCGAACATCCTCAGCTCACTGTGCCAACCTCCACCTGTCAGTGCATTACAAACTTCCTGACTGACAGGAGTCAGCAGGTGAGGCTGGGGAACATCACATCCAGAACCATCAGCACTGGCATCCCCCAGGGGTGTGTGCTCTCATCACTGAACTTCTCCCTCTAAAACAACAACTGCACCTTAGGAGACCCATCTGGCAAACTCCTGAAGTTTGCTGACGACATAACGGTCATCGGCCTCATCCGGGACGGTGACGGGTCAGCCTACAGACGGGAGGTTGATCAGCTGGCTCTCTGTTGCGGTCAGAACAACCTGGAGCTTAACACGCTCAAAACTGTGGAGATGATCGTGGACTTCAGGAGGAGCCCCCCCACTTTGCCCCCCTCACCATACTCAACAGCCCTGTGTCTGCTGTGGAATCCTTCAAATTTATGGGTTCCCTGTACATCCCAGGACCTGAAGTGGGAGCCCAACACGGACACCATCATCAAGAAGGCCCAGCAGAGGATGTACTTCCTGCGCCAGCTCAGGAAGCTCAACCTGCCCAAGGAGCTGCTGATCCACTTCTACACAGACATCATCCAGTCTGTTCTCTGCACCTCCATCACTGTCTGGTTTGGATCTGCCACCAAAAAGGACAGGAGCAGACTGCAATGGACAGTCAGGACTGCAGAAAAGATCATCTGTGCCAACCTGCCCTCCATTCAGGATTTAACATTTCAAGTTACGAAACGGGCAGAAACACTGCAGATCCATCTCACCCCGGACACAACCTGTTCCAGCTCCTCCCCTCTGGTAGGCGCTACAGAGCAGTGTACGCCAAAACCAACAGACTCAGGAACAGTTTCTTCCCACAAGCCATCACTCTGATGAACAGCTGACTCTGACTCTCAGTGTCAGGAACCATTGCTGTGCAATAATTCCTGTTTAGTGGCTACCACATGCCATTTCTTAATTCACCGTTCTCCATTTCAGAGCTGTTCTTACTGTTCGTATTGTCATATTGTATATACTGTATACCAAATCTTATTTACATAACACCTGCACATAATATTGATTTATTCCAGCATTTTTTGCACTCATCACACTGTGTACATGTGTACATTTATGTGTATGTACACCTGTTTAACACTTTGCACTTTGCTCATGGCACTATTGAACTACTGTCTCAATCTGTCTGTTCTGCTTATAGTGTGTATATATTCATTATAGTGTTCTCTATACTATAGCCTGTTTTTGATTTTATTACTATATTATTGCAAAAGTACAATGATGGTGCACTTCTACACCGCCATCACCTCCTCCATCACCATCTGGTATGCTGCTGCCACTGCCAGGAACAAGGGCAGGATGCATCATATCATTCACTCTGCAGAGAAGGTGGTTGGCTGCAATCTTCCATCACTTCAGGACCTGTACGCCTCCAGGTCTCTGAGGCGAGCAGGAAAGATCGCAGCTGACTCCTCCCACCCCGGACACAAACTGTTTCAGACTCTCCCCTTGGCAGGAGGCTGCGGTCCATCAGGACCAAAACCTCTTGCCACAAAAACAGCTTCTTCCCGTCTCCAGCTAGCCTCATCAACAAGGCCTCTGCACATATAAATATCACTTCATTTCATGTCATGCATGAACCTGGCACATAGCACATATTTGTTGTTAATTGTTGTTACTCTATATATTTATGTACACAATATTTTCTTCCGTTGCAATACGTCTGCACAACACAAACCGGAGTAATGAGCATGTAAATATCTGCTTCGTTGTTCTTTCTTTGCAAATAGCTGTGTTATTTTTCTCTATTCTTTTATATAGCATCTGTTTATTCCATATTTATATATTTCTACATTTATTTATGTCAACTGTATGTTTGTCTACGTGTAGCACCTTATACCAAAGCAAATTCCTCATATGTGTGATACACTACTTGGCAAAAAAGCTCCTTCTAATTCTGATATACTGCATTTAGCCGAAGTGCTACATCGGCATTAGCTCGCCTGTCAGCTTTTCAGTAACTATCTTTATTATCTGTGTATCTTTCACAGGAGGCTCAGCATTGTGAGCACAGCATAATGTGTTGGATGATAAAAAAATGGTTAGTGAGCTGGACTGAGAATGTTACAGTTAGGCCGCAGTAAGTAACATTACTGTGACATTAGTAGATGGGTCTTCCTCTGTGTTGTTATCGCTGTTTTGACTTATTTGCACATACTCTGGTATATGTGTGTCGCAATGATTGCATCTGCAGATGTTTAAATAAACCTACAGAAAAACATGTGCGTCCCTCAAATGTTTATTTCAACAACAACTGCCATCATAGCGTCATAGTAATGTCTCATTGATAGTCTAATTGTCAGCTACCTTGTTTGCAACTGTTATGACAGCACAGACCAGCTATGCGGGATCCTACACCACGTCTTCAATCTTAGCCTGAGCCAGGAGAACGTTCCATTGCTATGGAAGACATCATGCCTTGTTCCGGAAACCAAAGAAGACGTCTCCATCTGTCCTCAAACATTATAGAGCGGTGGCATTATTATCCCACATAATGAAAGTCCTGGAAAGGCCTCAGGTGACCACCTCCCTACACCCATTGCAGTTTGCTTACTGTGCTGAAGTGGGTGTCGAGGATAGGGGTGTGGAAAATAATTGCATACATTGCAATGCGGATTTGGACGATTCTGAATCGATTAACAAATAATCCATAATCAATTATCTACAGGTTAATTGATAATGTAAAGAAAAGGGAGGAACTCGGAAACGCCGAAGGGCAGCGGAGACGTGTGGTTCTCCCTGTTCGGCACAGACAGACAGCTGTTGAGTGAATGATGATACTTTTACTTGAGTACTTTTTATGGGAGTAGTTGTACTTTTACTTAAGTAAAGATTTTCAGTTCTCTGTTTACCTGCCTGAAATAAACACACAGCTTTAATAAAACTTTTCTGGATAAATAACATTAAACATGAATCAGTCAGAGTTTAATGGGATTAACAGCTGACCTCTCTGCAGCAGACGGTTGTCCTTTAAATTCAATAATAATATCCTTTGACCGGTCACTCTTGAAGGACACACAGCTGGGCTCAGGTCCAGGTCCAGGTCCAGGTCCAGCAGAGTCTGGTCCCTGCTGCTGCTCTGGGCTTCAACACAACACACACAGAGCTTTGAGAGTGAATAATGATGGTGGAGTGATTTGAGTCCTGGACAGTTAGAGATCCTCATCTCACCTCTGAGCTTTGGTCTGGCTGTCATGTTCCCCACACAGAGTGCTTTTAGAGGGAGGGACTCCCTCCTCTCTGTCCTCACACTGACTCATGCTGCTCAACTCACATCCACTTTCACCTGGAGAGGAAACACAAATCATTCATCTGCACATCAACTCAAATCCTCCTTTCCATCATTTCTCCTGGAAAAAGATCAGCTGCTCCTCCACTGATTGGCTGCTAGTTTCTGTTTCATATCAGTGGCAGCTGAATGCAGTCAGACAGCAGCGTGAGGCAGAGGAAGCTGCCATCAGCTGCTGGACTTCTACTATCAGTCCACTAGATGGAGGCATGAAGCTGCAGCCCAGCACACACACCTGCATGGAGGACCAGGAGCAGATTTTCATAATAAGAGAACAGGATGTTTTATTTGGTGGTGTTGATGCTTTCTCACAGTTTAACTCTTGTTGACAGTTTTATAGTTTGTGAACGAGTCCAGAGACAAAAACAAGGCGTCAGACTGGAAACAAGGCAATAGTGGGATTACAACTTTGTGCAGCTGGAAAAAAGCAACTGCGGCCGCCAGACTCGGCCCCTGCAGCCCCCTTGCTCCCGCAAGGTTTTAATGTCAAGTGACATAGTGACGTTTTGCTTAATCTGTCAGACTACCCTTCCACAAGGGACTTCAACACTGCAAGTTCCCATGAATCCATCATGGTGACATACGGGCCTTTCTCATTTCCCAAATTTGTGCCGAGGAAACAGGCATTTAATGAAATGAGATGTCCTCTCGTCCTTATGCTTTTGTCCTCCGCGTAAAGAGCTGGCACGCTGATTGTGCCCGGGGTCAGGGTGCCGTCTGGCCGCAGCGCAGCAGGTGGCGACCGCTGCTACAAGGAGGGCCCCATGTAACGTTAGAGGGAGGCTAAAGTAGTCGGGGGGACCCAGGTAGGGATCGGCTGCGTAGTTGGTGGGATTTGAACATGTTTTCTATTATCTTTACGTGTAGGGTGGCGTGGTAGTGCAGTGGTTAGCGCGGTTGCCTCACAGCAATAAGGTCACAGGTTTGAACCCTAGTGGTCCAGGCCTTTCTGTGTGGCGTTCGTATGTTCTCCCCAGGTACTCGGGCTTCCTCCCACCATCCTCTAAATTATCCTTGGTGTGAGTGTAACTGGTTGTTTGTCTATGTGGTGACCTGTCCAGGCTGCCTTTTGTCAGCTGGGACTGGCTCCAGCCCCCCTGTCTTGGTGGTTTTCTTTTGCTTGTTTTGTTCTGTTCTGATGGTCTGGCTTAGAGCTCATCCTGCCTGTGGGATAAACTTCCAACTCTGGGTTAACGTGTCTGCTGGTCATTATATTTACTGCATGTCAGCTAGTGTGTGTTTTATGGGCTCTGATCTCTCAGCCAGTGTGTCTCTTTGTGCTTCACATTGTTTTACTGCCTCTTTTTGATTAATAAAGGTTTAGATTTTAATATAGCTGCTTTCCAGTCAGACTTGCCTTCAGGGTGCTAGGGACCTGCTGTTTGTGGCTGTGAGCTGTCCCTCACCTCCATTTATTGTATTTCAACTATTTAACCAAGAATGATGATAATGAAATCTGCATTATTTCTAATGATTTTACTTGTATTTTAATGTTTTGTGGAAAAACTAAACTTAAACTAGCAAACCCACGTTAAAAACTAATTCAAACTAAACTGAAAACAAAAAGTCAAGACTAAATAAAATTAAAAACTAATGAAAAATCCTAAACTATAACAACCTTGTTTTCCTCTGAGCCGTCATTTTAAAGCGACGTCAGTTAAAGATGACGTGTTGCACAGCTGCGTCATCTGACCACTGTTTGAGCTGTGATCTCCAAAGGCTGCAGATCAGATCTTCAGAAACACATTATAGCATCTGCAGATTCCTGCAGCCTGATCACTGACTACACAGAAACACAGCCTAACACTATTATTAAAACATGAAACAGGTCAGTGCTGAAAGCTCTGGTTCATATTACAGCCCAATAATCTGACGTCAGCAGCTGTTTGCACTGTTTGTCACGATTATAGCAGCCAGCGCTCCCTGAAATTCTGCAAAATAAAGTGATCAGTGAGCAAAGTGTCTGAAAAGGACCAGAACATGTGGATGTATAATCCAGCAGAAGAGATGATGGAGGCTACCTGCAGAGATTTCTCAGTATATGTGAGTGTTAGCTCCTGCGAGGATCTGCTGGACTCTGGTGGACTCTGGTGGACTCTGCTGGACTCTGCTGGACTCTGCTGGACTCTGGTGTTACCGGCCGAGCCGCAGTTAGTGGCTCAGACAGCGGGAGAGCAGCGGCTCGTCTCCGCCTCCTCCACAGGCCGCTTCAGACATCAGGAAGAGAAGCTGCACGGAAACAACGACTCTGTGTTCAACTCCTGAGGAGAAAGGAGCTCAACAGCTGCTCTTATTCCACCGCTTAGCCCAGATATCCACAACATGGAGGACCCCAGTTAGTTTGTTAAAGTTCAGAGTTACTTTACTAAAACAAGCTAACAGCAGTTAGTTTGAAACATGTCGGTTACATTTACCTCACACGGAGAAAAGAAGCTGCGTCATGAACAAAGTGAAAGTAAAGTGTGAACAGGAAACAAGGGGCGAGCTGCTGCTCACAAGAAATGTTACCATGGTAACTCTTTAAATAACCCCACTGATACCAACAGAGTTCAACACAAACTGGACCCTTAAAGCCCTCAGCCAGTTTTAACTGCCGTTTAGGGTTAATGTTCTTTCTCAAACAGAGAATCCGGAGTGGTTAAAAGCATCAATTACCATGACAACCAGAAACTATTATATATATACATATATTATAATACCAACCAGTGCTATTTTGTCTACAGTTAGAAAAAAAAACATATACTTGATCTTCTGCATGTAAATTTGACTTGTTATGAACTTTACTAAGAAGAGAGATTAAAACTAACGAGTTATTTCTGTTTATGTAGGCTGTAAGAAACACTGTATGTACTACAAACTACTTACATCACACACAATAATTTTTCATCAGCTGTAGCTGTAGATGTTGTGTCCTTATATTACCAAGCTTACCATCCAGCTCACAGGCTGTCTGCTGGGCCACGTTATGAAGTCCTTACCTTTACGTGTTGTATCCTGTCTACACCTTTTATACAGCCTCATTAGGTTGACAATACAGTGAATCACATTTTATGCGGTTGCAATCATATATATATTGAACAGATGCATAGTGCATTAATGGTTAAACATATTTTATATAAAGCTATAAATGTATTCTAATATTTATAAATTGCAATTAACAATAACACAAACAAGAGTGGAACTTTTTAAAACGTGTGGATGCACCAAATGGGTCAAAATGAAACAACATTTTAAACTAGAAAAGACTCATGAGCAAACAAAAGTGCTATTCTCAAGATTTTATTTATAGAAAATATTTTAAATAACATCTACATGAAAATACACACAGACCATTCTTTTAACTGAGCGCATTGACAAAACAAAACACTTTCTTGCAATGTTGAGAACAACAAAAGTCACTCCTCAAGCGTTGGCTGAGACATTTGTCTACCAGATTTCATCTAAATCTCTCTTTTAGAGATATTTACAAATAGGCTACCTAAGTTCTAAGTAATTACATGATAAATTGGTTAGCTCGCTCACAACGATGTTTATGAGTTTGATGCTCTGACTTAACGAGAAATGACAGTGCGCCTGCGCAAGCTTGGAGAATGACGTATGACTTATGGAATCACTATAGTCATACGTCACCACCCCGTTTTAGCAACTAAGCAATTTTTGCAACTTTGAGCACAAAATTAAGCTATTTGGCAAAAAATATTTGGCGATATGTGGGTAATCAATATTGTACGGAAATGACACAGAAAAATATGAAATATCATAGAAATGTCAAAATACAGTGGAGGGGGGATTTAAAGAGACTCACAGAGAAACTAGCATGAATCCTCATATTGATACTGACACTCATACTGATGTGGACTCTGTCACCAATCCTCATCACCTCATCAGTACTGATTAGTACGTAAGAAGTAAGAGTCCTGTTGGCCACACCTCAGTGTAATGTAGTGTTGTAGTGACTCAGAGTGACCACTGGAGGGCAGTAACTCCTCTGCTTCTGCCTCTAGGAGTCCACATCAGTCAGTCCTCATGTTCACATCTCTTTGTGTCTTTCAGAGCACATTTGGAAACTCTGAGCTTCAAACATCCAAAGGAAACAGGAGCGTAGCTCCCACTGAGGACGCTGAAACAAATTTGGAATTTAGATCCCCTTAACATGAGATGGAAAGTAGTATTAATTTGGTTAAGTTGTTTTAACTCAAACTATTAAGTTCATTTAACTTCACTAACTTCAAAAACATTGTTGAAACAAAATGCCTCATACAGGCCCCTGACACAGAGCCAGGGAATATCCAGGTAGGCTATAAACCACACCGCATTTAAATTAATTATTTTAATGGAAATGGAAAAAATACGCCTCAAACATGAAATATTAAATTAGTTGAATATAATATATTAGTGGCATGTTGTCAGGCTCCGGGGCTTTGACTATCTTACACCGACTAACACAACTGAATATCAGTGTCAAAACAGGTTAATATTTTCTGCCAATCAGAACTGCATTCTACATTAACATTTACAATTACTGATTTTAACATTACTTCTCAGTGAACTACGCAGAGGTCTAAGAGCATTTTCTAGTTATAAACATTAACAATAATTTTATGAAAGTGAAAATATTAAACAATATGTTTATTAAGCCTAAACATCCTTTTTTATTTGCCCCAACAGTGTCTGCTTGGAAACATTCTGGCCCTTGAACGAATGTAGTTGAGCTCCTGTAAATTTAAGGTTGGTCACTTTTATTTTGAAAAAAGAATACTGTTACCGGAATATGTACTTCCGGTGGCTAACATGCTAACTTTTCCTTCACGTTACCGTTAGATGCAGCCGGAGTTCAGCAGCAGAGCCTGCATGTGAGGATCAACGTGTTTAAGTGGACTCTGTTTAAACTTTCGGGATGTTTCACCTCAGACTCATCTCCTGTTAGCCAAGAATGCTAAAGGAAGTTAGCTTGTCAGCAGGAAGTAGCCGGAGCCGGAGCTCGGCCTCACAGTGTGTATTTTATCAGAGTGAGCTGCGTGTCTGTAACGGAGTGTGTCTGGAGGAAAAGCTGCTGTAAACATGTCTAAAGTCGAGAACGAGGAGGAACTTTGTGGACAACGCAAACTGCTGGACACAAAGCCTGAAGCAGGTTTGTACACTTTACGGCTGGAACGTCACATTTCTGTAGCTGAGGTCACATTTGAGTTAGATGCAATAAAACTATAATGAAACAGTGATATCATTTTCCTGAAGAACATTGTAACAAATGTTCAATAAATGTTTCATTTAAATCTCAAATTAATTAGCACTTATTTTTTCTATTACAGTTTTTCACAATTGTTCAGGTAGTTGAGACAAAACTCTAAACACATTCTCACTCACTGAAACACGTGTTGCAAAATGGTAAATACATGCGACAACAGTTAAACACAACTACAACACAGCTGTCTAACATTGCTAACAGTTTTGGACATACCGCCCAGCCCTACTTGTAACGTTACTTGAGTAACAATTTATTCGCCTGAGCTTTGTTCCTTTCTAGCCTATTTGAATTATGTAAAGTGGTTGAAAGTTATCACAAAAAGGAGTGTTAGTTTTACAGTCTCAAAATCAATTTCCCGACCGTAACGGGATCAGCTGTGCACGTTTATAGGTGATAGATATTTACTAGTCCTTTCGGGAATTCATAGTGTGTCATACAGCAAACATCAGACCAACAACCTGACAGCTGCTTTACAAACAAACATCACCTGAGTGCTCTACAAGTTATACTAAAGGCTCATGCAGACTACACGACGTGCCGTTCACACAACGGGGGTTACGTACTGTAACCCGGATTCTATTTCGTATAGGCTTCGCCCTCTAAGGCTATCGCTATTGGTTTAGAGGCGAAGCAGGATGAGTCAACGCCTCACTGGCCCATTCGGTACCACCAAGCACAACTCGGAGGCCGAGGGCCATAATGAGCCACCCAGTCGCACGCTGACTGTGGCATTGGTGTCGGTGTGCGCATGAGCACCGATGGCACGGCATGGGAGGCCGAGGGCCGACCCATGCGTACGTTGGGAAACTGGGTGGGGGCCCCCGCAGCCGTACAGACGCAGGCGGGGTCACGACAGCAACCGCATCAGCTGCGCACAATCCAGGGCCACGTAAGCAGCGGCCGCCCCCCCCACACCGTCACGTGGGAGAGGGCGCACCGCATGCTCACAAGGACAATCACTCAACCAAAACACTCAGTACTGAGTGAGTCAGAGGGAAAAGGGAGACATCCCGCAGGTAGAAACGGACGAAAGAGCATGGGGACGACCAGGAGGTCGCCGTGCAGATGTCGTCCACTGTCATCCCACCGTGCAACACCACTGAGGAGGAGACACCTCTCGTGGAGTGCGCTCTGATGCCATCCGGGGGAGATTCACCGGCAGACACGTAAGCCTGGGAAATGGCATTGCACAGCCAGTGACACAGGCGCTACGCCGACAGAGGAAAGGAGTTCGTAATGCTTTTAGGCATGAACGCTGAGTTAGGGCGCAGAACAGCCAATCTGCTGTCGCCCTGAATCTTCACAAATGGCGGAACCACAGAGAGGGCAGCCAGATCGCTGACCCTCTTGGCCGATGTCAGAGCCAGGAGCAAGGCAACCTTAGCCAAAAGGAATCTCAGGTCCGCTGTCAGCTTTATGTGGAGAGGCCTGTGGTCCGCCACAGACCGCCCACTACCTGAGAAAGGCAGGTCCCGCCCCAGCCCATCAGGGAGGCGTCTGTGAAGACTGAGATATGGGACGTGACCCTGCCCAGGGGCAACCCCGACCGAAGAGAGAGGGGGTCCCGCCAGTAGGCCAGATCAGGGGCCTCTGGCGCCAGCAGCAGCAAGTCATTCAGATAAAACCGGACCCCAATGCCGCAGCAGCTCCAGGGCTGTCTCGACACACTTGGAAAAAGTGCGTGGGGCCAAGGAGTTACCGAAGGGCAGGCAGTTGTGTTGGTACTGGGCACCCTGGAATGAAAACCGTAGAAACTTCCTGTGTCAGGGAATGACGGACACAGGAAAGTATGCATCCTTCAGGTCGATGGAGGAGAGCCTGAGTCCCTGGCGCACACACTCCATCACCTGTTTCACTGTTAACATGCAAAAAGGTCTCACCATAATCGCCATGTTGAACAGCGACAGGTCCAGGATGGGCCTCTCACACAATGTGGGGAAGTGAGAAAGTGCGTAATATGTGGAGCAGCGATAGGGTAACCAAGGGGGAACCCCTGGACGCACATAAGGACCATTGATGCCGTGATTATGCACGAGCTCGCAGCTGGGCACTGCCGGGGGAAACGTGCATGATGTCAACAGCATCACACGCTGCCCGACAGATTTCTTCCATCAGAAAAATGTTCTGTCCACACAAAGCGAATTTCTGCTGTCGTGCACTCATATAGTTTCCGTGGGGACGGGTGTGAAGGGACCTCTGATCGTGAACAGAGTGTACTGCTTGTTGCTTTTAGCTTCAAGCTGCAGGTTAGCCACTTGGCTAACGGCAGCTGGCTCACACCGTGTGGGAAATGTGTGCTTGGTGTGGCTGGTTCGACTGAGGCAGGCACAGACAGCATTTCTTCAA